ATGGTCAGCGTCGATGTTGCTTTCAGAAGAGCAACTAATTACTCAATCCGTGAAACAGAAAACGTTAGAGAAATCAAAATTACTCTCGACTCAGAAAATTGGGAAAACGAAATTGAACAAGATTTCTGATATTAATAAAATTAATTATTTGAAATATTTTTTTCATTTTTTATTTAGAAATTGAATGCATATATTTTTCCTTTTTAAAATTGATGAATGTTGTTGTATTCAATATGAGTAAATTTAAACTGAGAATAGTCTTTTAAAAATATCTATGACAAAACCAAAACTTGAAATCCAGATGATTAAAAAGCATAAAAAATGAAATAAAAAATATGAATTCAAAATGATCGTCGAAATTTTTATTTGTCTTTTATTATAAACATTTAACAAGACTAATTGAAAATAATTCAAAACTTTCATATTTTAAAAGTATTCTATAATCAAAAAGCATGAAAAAAACTATAAAAAAAAGAATGAAAGCCACAATGTTATTTAATTAATATTGTCACTCGATGCCTAATATTTATTTAAAAAATAATTAAATCAGCTTTCCAAAAAATTCAATTGCTTCAAATGCGAGATAATATGTGCCATTGCAGTCAACACCAGTTGAATAAATCCTCAAGTATTTGTATTTATTATTTCCTTGGTTGTTTGTTTTATATGTATGAATCGTATTTTCACCATTGAGATCACTACGTCCGTTAGCTGTATCCAGAGTTGTCCATGAATTTCCATCATTTGAGCCTTGAAGTTGCCAGTGATATGGATTGGCCCAGTTTGCTTGTGTGCATCCTGATCTCATTGTGTAGGCAGTTGGGATAATTCGTCTTTCTTTGAAGTCAAACTGTATCCAGCTGTTCGCTGAGTTTGCAGACATGAAAATTTTGTTTTTATCGTCGTACAAAACGACGTTTCGCGCTTGAAAACGTTCCTCGTTATTGTTGCACGAAGATGAAGTGATCGCAACTTCTTCCTCGATTTTCCCAGATGACTCCTTCATCAAATAGCTGATGATTCCTGTCATAGAATTATCGTTCGGTGCTGGAAAAGAAGCCTCCTTTCTCTCCTCTTTTGTGTATCTGCCTTTGCTCTTTCCTCCGTCGTTTTTGACCTCGCTGAGGAGTCTTTTCGAGAGGCCAATCCACGTCTGCGCTGTGATGTCGTCCGGCTGGTAAATCTCCATAAATTGGCGCATCGCTTCAACTGTAACATTTTGAAATTGGACGGTTTCATATAAATTTGAATACATTGAATTTTTTGAATAAATTTTGTTCACAAATTTCAGAAGCTGGTCTTCTGACTTGAGTTGAAGCTTGTTGCTGGTCAGTATTTCAGCTAGAGTATCGATTTCTAGATTTTTAAAATCTTCGTCATGATTCTCTGAAAGTTCATGGAAATGTGAGGCGATAAATTCAATTTCTTCTGAGAAACTTTTTGAATAAAAATTTTTGAATGGTTCGTGTTGCTGAAGTAGCTTGAAAACGTTTTGTACATTGAGTTCGATCGAATGGGGAGGTTCGGAAAGATGTATTTGGTCTGTCCCTAAAATTTGGAAAACTTCAAAAATAAATGGAAGTTCATTATTTGGGATATCTTTTTCATCAAAGTTAACAAGGTCAAGAATACGTGAAAAATTGCCATTACTTTTTGTTTTTATGGTAAATGTATCGAATGCTGGATCGTTGGCGTGTATCTGGCATATATTGGGGGATAATAAATCTGCTATAAGTCTATTGGTTTTAAATTCTTCGTTATTTACAATAAAACGAAAATCATCTTGGAAGTTATGAATGGGAACTTTTAAAATGCAGGTAGCTTTCAAATGAAGCTTAGTGTTTTCAGTCATGTAAAAAAAAAAAAAAAAAAATTGGGGCAATCCGGGAATTGGACCCGGGACCTCACGCACCCTAAGCGTGAATCATACCACTAGACTAATTGCCCTTCTATTAAACTCAAAAACTAGTTTCTTTATTTAAATAAATGACGAACATCATATTAAAAAAACAAAATACGGATAAAATAAAGAAAATATAAAATAAAAAGAAGAATTAAATCTTGTTAACACTATAAAAAAAGCAATAAACTTTAAATTAAAAAGAATATTAACAAATTTAAATAAAATCTTATTAATTGAAAAAGTTGAATTAATATTTTTTTTTTGTGAATAATTTCTTTCAAAAAGTTGGAATCACCTCATCTATGTAAAAAGAAAAAGTTATTGATTATCGGAATAAAAATCGATAAATAAAAAAATCATATCAACAGGATAGGAAAATCTTTTTACTTTCTAGTAAACCAATATAAAACTATTAATTAATTATTGTATATTATATATTTGTCATTTGTTATAGATTTTTTACAACTCATTCATTGTCCATCATACTGCATAAATTAATAAATCTGATCCCTAAATGTACAACCTTTTTATTTGTTTGATAAAATCAAAGAAATTATGGATGCAAGAAAAAATTATAATATATGATGAATTCAAATTATGAATGATTAAAAAGTCCAGAAATTTGAATTCATCATATATTAATTGTGAGCAATAACTTTATCTTTCAAAATTTCAATTTTATAACTTTTTTTCTGATCCTTTTTAAGTTAAATAAAAATGAATGAAACTTTTTCTGAGGTAAAGGTATTCAAAAAAATTCTGAATTGAGTATTATTTCACTTTTATTTAAGATGAGCACATTCATCAGAATCCAATGCCAAGATCTCGAACTTGTTCTTCAAGTTCCAGAGAACAAGAGACTTTACCAAAGCTATCTTGGACAAAAGTTACTATGCGAAGCAGATCTTCCGAAGATTGACTGGTGGATCAAGCCAGGATCAGATATGGCTGTTTGCCAGCGTGGATGGGAAGTCGCAGCAGGCTCAGGATATGAAGACTTCTTCGAACCATGTGTTGCCGTAACTCATGAAGATGGAAATCCATGCACAATTTTCAAATACGTCTCCCATGAACAAAAGAACGTTGAAGGTGGTGTTGAGACCATCATTCATCTCAAAGATGATGTTTATCCAGTAACATTAACACTCCATTACACGGCATATACCAAAGAAAACGTTATCAAGGTTTGGTCCGAAATCAAACACACAGAATCCAAGCCACTTCAATTCTCGCGCTACTTCACATGCATTGTTTACTTCTGCTCTCCACATTACTACTTAACAGAATTTGCAAGTGACTGGGCACGTGAAGGACGCATCCAAACGCAAGAATTGCAATTCGGAAAGAAGATTGTCGACTCAAAATTAGGAAGCCGTGCATCAATGTTCGCTCATTCGTACTTCGAACTCGGAATTAATCAGCCACCTAAGGAAAACGAAGGTGATGTCCTCGTCGGTGCAATCAACTGGACAGGTAACTTCAATGCAACATTCGAGGTTGACAATGCTGGCAACTTGAGAGTTCTTCCTGGTATCAATCACTTAAATAGCCTTTACACATTAGATCCAAATGTTCCATTCAAGACAGCCGAATTTGTATTCACATACTCAAATCACGGTGTTGGACCTGCTTCTCGTCAATTCCATGACTGGGCTCGTAATTATCAATTATGTGATGGAAAAGGATCCCGCCTTACCCTCCTTAACAACTGGGAAAACACTTACTTCGACTTCAATGAAGAACTTCTTGGCAAATTAATGAAAGAAGCCAAAGAATTAGGAGTTGATCTCTTCCTTCTCGATGATGGATGGTTCGGAAACAACCACCCACGTAACGATGATCATGCAGGCTTAGGAGATTGGCAATGCATGAAATCCAAACTTCCAAACGGAATTCCAAAACTTGTTGAATTTGCAAAAGAAGCTGGAATCAAATTCGGAATTTGGATTGAACCAGAAATGGTTAACCCAAGATCAGATCTTTTCACAAACCATCCAGATTGGGCCATTACCCTACCAAACAGAGAAACATATTATTATAGGAATCAACTTGTTCTCGATCTTTCCAACCCAGAAGTTCAAGATTTCGTCTTTGGTGTTGTTGACAGCATCTTAACAGAAAATCCAGAAGTTGCCTTCTTCAAATGGGATTGCAACAGTCCAATCACAAACATCTACTCCAAGTATCAGAAAGACAGACAAGGAAACTTATACATTGACCACGTCCGTGGCTTATACAACGTTTTAGAAAGACTTCGTAAGAAGTATGCTACAGTCCCAATCATGCTTTGCTCAGGTGGTGGTGCACGTTGCGATTACGGCGCACTTGAATACTTCACTGAATTCTGGTGCTCCGATGACACTGATCCAATCGAACGTTGCTACATCCAATGGGGCTTCTCACAAGTCTTCCCAGCCAAGGCAATGTGTGCTCACGTTACAAGCTGGAACAAAGTTTCATCAGTCAAATTCAGGACAGATGTTGCTTCAATGTGCAAACTCGGTTTCGACTTGGGACTCAAAGATCTCTCCCCAGCAGACCTCAAATACGTCCAAGGTGCTGTTGCTAACTGGAAGAAGAACAAGGATGTCATCCTCGATGGTGACCAATATCGTCTTGTCAGCCCATATGAAACAGAAAGTGCTCACATGGCCGTTAGCTATGTCTCCAAATGCAAGTCGCGCTGCGTTTTGTTCTGCTATGATATCACACCAAGATTCCAATCAAAGACATTCCCACTTCAACTCCAAGGACTCGATCCAAGCAAGAAATACAAGGTCACAGAAATCAACTTGATGCCAGACACTGAATCAGACTTGAAAGGAAACGAACAAGTTTACTCAGGTGACTTCTTAATGAAGATCGGTATTGAACCATTCACATTCAAACATATGACAAGCAAGGTCATTGAAATCACTGCAGTTTAAAAAAAAAAATCTTTTTTTCATCTTCTTAGTTAAAAAAAAAATTGAATTCATTTAATTTCTTTTTTTTTATTATTATTTGTGTTCATCAATGAAGTGAAGCTAAAATGTTAAATTTATAATTAATTGTTTTGAATTTCTTATGAGAATAAATAAATAAATACTTACAAGAATTTCTTGTGGTGTAATTGGAAAGCACGCTTGCCTCTGAAGCATGAGATTGAGGTTCGAGTCCTCACCAGAAAATTTTTTTTGATTTTTTTTTTTATTATTTTTTTTTTTTTTAAAAAAAAATTCAATGATAGATATCCAAAGAAAGTAAATCACGATTTTATTACTTTTGTTTGTGGAGGTAAATCCATGTAATAAGTTGATTCCACAAAAGATGGAATTATCACCTGTTTCAATGAATAGCATCCAGCAAAAAGAGAGTGGCCAATTTCTTCAACTGAAGAAGGAATTTCCATGCTGACTATAGAAGAGCATCCTGAAAAAGCATAGCTCTTAATTGATTTCACTGAAGAAGGAATAAGTAATTGTTGTAAAGACCTGCATCCAGCAAAAGCACTTTTTTTATTGATGCAAAAGCAATGTTAATTATATTGATTATTATTATTATTGTATGGATCATAACAAGTATGATTTACGTAAGATTACTAAACAGATTAGAATGAAGAAGTTCATCTGTGAAGCACCAATCGGCTCTGGTAAATCTACTGCAATTCGTAAATGGAAATCTTCATATAAAACAGAGAAGTTTATGGTAATAGTCCCAACAGTGAATATCGCTGAAGATTTCTATACCAAACAGAGTGTTATGGATGTTAAGTCAATACAATTGCGTGTTAATGATAATGCGTTTAAAGAGTTTCACAAAGTTGTACAAAATGAAGTTAATATATTTATTACAACTTACAACACTGCTTCTAAATGTTTAGGTGACTTAATTGAAGAATACTATGAAAGAGAACAACGTCTCTATTACTTTCTTATAATAGATGAAGCTCACTTGATGTTACAACATATAAGTTTAATTGAGATTACTATAGAGTTCGATAAAGTAGCATTAATAAGTGCAACAGCTGATGATATTAAATACTTCGCATGCTTTAGAAATTACATTATCGTTAATCCATGTATTAATGAGAGATACAATCGAAAATCTATGTTAATAAGCAAATATCAGATACAACTGAACAACGAGCTGAGATAGTTAAATTAATCGATATAAAGAGAATGAAATATGATAAGGTATTAGTTAAGATAGAAGATAAGAAAGAGCGCAAGATATTAAAGGAGTTATTGAAAGATAGGTACAAGGTTGCGTTATATATAGGTGATGAGAAGGGGTTAAGATGAATAAAGATTGTATGTTTGAAGAAGATGTTAATGTTATTATATTTATTTCATCTATCCAGAACGGACAATCTATTTAAGAGAATATTTTTTCTATATTTGTCCAAACATATATTGATACTATCTCTAGTGTTAAGTAATTTTTAGGTCAAAATCGTAATAGAGATTCGAATATATATGTATATGTTTGATATGGGAAACATTTGAAGAAGAGGAATTACTAGATACCAAACAATAGATATGAACGATATTTGAATATTTTACGCGATAGAGCATGTAATTGAATGTGTAAAGCAGATTAGGATGAAAAATTATATAAATTTGTTTATTTACGATTCGGTAAATCTGATGCTGATGATAATGATGATGTACAGGTTAATGAATCTATTGATGATGAATATGTTGATGATGAACCAATGAATCAATTAACGAACCTATCATTAATGAACCAATTAACGAATCTATCACTAATGAATCAATTAACGAACCTATCATTAATGAACCTGTTAACGAATCTATCACTAATAAACAAGTTAATGAATATATCACTAATAAACCAGTTAATGAATATATCACTAATGAACCTGTTAATGAATCTATCACTAATCCGCATAGCGGAGTTTGCCAAGCAAATGAACTTATTGTAGATATAGAATTCTCGAATAAGAGAGCGTTATACAATCATTATGGAATCGATGTTAAGACAATACCAGTTGGATATGAAGTTAAGATGAGATATATTAAGACAAATGGCAAGATGGGTCGATTATATAAATTAGTGAAGAAGTGAATTGTCAATGTGTTTACTATGTATTTTTATTCTACATAAATGACAGAATTAACAGAACTATTCGCAATGAATGATATGAATAAGTTGAAAAATTAACTCTCTCGATTGATAGAATCGAAGGATTATAAAACAGTTAATACTTTATTACGTCGTAATCCTAATACATGGAAGTTTAATACTCGTGAACTCAATGAAGAGATACCATGTGAAGATAGACACTTTACTAAGAGAAAAGTCGTCATGAAATTCGAGAATAGACCTAGACGTAAAGACCAAAAATAAAGTATTATTTTTATGTAAGTATTGTGTAATGTTTCTTTACATAAAAATGAGTAAGAGTAAGAATAAAACACAACCAAGTATAGAAGAGTTATATACCACAAACGACTTAACAGTATTAAGAGTTAACAGCTAAACAAGATTATAAGACTCTTAATACTCCGTTTAGTCGTAATCCGAATGCTAGTAAGTTCGATACAAGAACACTTAATGAAGATATTTCCACTAAACGTAATGGTAAACTCTGTAATGTATCTAGAACAGTACCACGAAAGCAGAATGAAGAAGAACTGAGAGAAGCATACTCATATAAATCCAGGTATTATGATCCAAATTCGAATTCGTTTAAATATATAGATAAACCTATTGAACCGTATGTTAGTGCTTCACGTATTCGTGCTAGATACTAAATCGACACAGAACACAGATCGTGCACACATATACATTATTTTTGCATCCGACTGATTATAAAAAAATAACGTCAAAAGGATTATTTTTGCATAGGACCGAGTATATAGACGAGTTCATTATGAAGGACAGGGGCTGATTGATGAAAAGCAAGCCGATTTGTTTTTAACACAAATTGTTGAAGTAGTTCATCAATTTGGAGAAGAAAAATTACTCGATACGGTAAGTCATTCATCACTACGAATAACTTACCGTATCGAGTAATTGGCCAAAAAGGAAAGGAATCTGTTCGAGTGACAAAAGATAATTTAAATGCAAAAGAGGGAACTACTTTCATAGGAACATTGGCTATGGATCCAAATGTAAAAATTCTCTTATCATTAGTAGCCAAGGGGGAAATCGTTGGATGCCAGAAAAAATATGGAAATGAAAATTCTGAAGAGTTAATAACTCATTTGCAAATCCGATTTCCTTTTTTTTTTTTTTTTTTTTTTTTTTTTTTTTTTTTGATGTTAAAAAAGACGTGGCAGTTATTTTTTAGCCACCCAATATTATATAATAAATTTATATTATCTGTTAATTATTTAAATTTCAACAAATATTAATGAGAAAAAAATTTTCTATGATCTTTGCGTTCTTACCTCTGGGGAAGATTCGAATTTGACAAGAAAAAATTGAATTTGAAAATGTCTTCATAGTAAATATAAGTGAGAGTCGAGATAATCTAATAGAATGACGAAGAATCAATGTATTGCAAATATTTACCTCTAGGTCCATTTTGAAGAGTTTTTATTAGCATTAATATTAAGAATAAGTTGGTCGATCTATTGCAAATGTTCTCTTTAAGATGAAATAAATTTATCAGTAATTCCTAATTGTAATTACTTTTTTAATATAATACATAGGATTAATTAATTAATTCCAAGAATGAAATACTATGCAGCTAATGAGATTGTTGAAATGTATGGATAAGAAAAGATGAGCAAAATTGAGTAAAAGCAAGCAGAAGCAGGTAAAATGTTTTTTAATTCAAAATCAATTTCTCAATCCAGTATTTGTTTTTTGTGAATGTAATATCTTTAGTTAAATTTGACATTTGATTTTGCTTAAAATAATTATTAAAACCTACTATATAACCGATTAATGATTCATATTTCCTTCATTTTTTGGTATTGATACATGAAGCATTACATTTTGCCTATATCAATTAGATATGGATCTTTGTTTAGATCAGTTAAAAATCTTTCATATGTTCGAATTCGTAAAAAATTCTAACTTATGTTTTTGGGATATCTACAATTATATACTCCAATTGTAATGTAAAGTAGTACTCAAAAGAAAAAACCCATTGCTTGGATTTAACTTTAATAACATCATCACAAGATTACGCAATATACAATAAATAGACTTTCCTTTCTATAATAAAAATCATATGCCTATTATTACCAACTAGTTTTCCTAGATAACTTTAAAAAATTTTATATTTTTATATGAAATAGCATAGTATTTCGATTTTTGTTTGCTTGATTCCTTTTTTACTACTATTTATAGAGGAATAATTTTATCATAATACTGAATATCGTATCAAATTGTCTTTTTCATATGCCGAGTATAGTGAAAAAGTTCATGCAAATTAAGTAATAAGGTACGATAGGAAAATTGAATGCTATTTTCGGAAAAAGTTCAAGAAAAAAAATCTACCAAAATCTTTTTCTATAAATTTTTAAAGATTTTACTTTTTTCTCTACATTAATTCTTTTATATAAATTTCAAAAAAATTAATATTAATGCACTTTTTTCCCTTTTTAGCAAGATACTTTATATTTATAAGATTCTAATGTATAAAACTTTTTCATTAAAAAAATTTTTATACAAGAAAATGTAACATAAATATCTTTAAAATATGATGTTTTAATTAAAAGAAAATTAACAATAAAACTTAATAGAAATCAAATATAAAAAAATTTATAAAAGAATCAAATAAAAAATACAATTCTAACAAGATTTAAATTTTTTTAAAACTAACTGTTAAAATGATCGAAACTTTTTCTTAATTGATGTCTCACAAAAATTTATCACTTTTATTGCAATAAACTCAATTTCTTTAAATTACAATTCAATTTAAATTAACAGATTTTAACAATAAAAATTTATATGTCTTGTGGAAGTAAAATACTTATATATGCTCTTATTTACATGTTAGGATCAGTACAATTTGGATTCACACTTAGCTATGGTAGTTTACCTATAGAAGGTTTGAAAAAGGATTATCCGAATTGGGATTTTAATAAAGATGAAAACAAAATCTCATACTTTACTCATTTCGCCTCGCTTTTTGGATCAATTGGAGGTTTTTTAATCAGAATATTAGCTCATTTTACATCAGGAAGAAAAGCATTATGCATTTTTAGCA